TAGCATACACCCATTAGAAATGGAAGGCATAGATAATAGCATGCAAAGACCTTTAGGAAAAGAGAACATTCCAAACTACAAGGGTCATCAATCTATTTCTCCTAGTACTAGAGGAGGCTCGGTCGGATTTTGGAATTATCATTGCTTTTTCAAAAATATAAGCAAAGCCTTCTCATTATCTCCCAACCTAGAATATCTCAACCAGGTTGAAGCGAAATCATCGTAGAAGGATGCCATGCTCAAAACAAAGTTGAAGCCATTCAAAAAACAATTCAAAAGAAGATACGTAGAAGAATTGAAGCAAAATTTTTTGTTGAAAACAGACTGCTTCGTAAGAACATTATTGGGGGGATGAAACAAAAAGAACTCTGCTTGAGCAGGAGGAAATCATCACTTCCAACCGCATATGTCTTCTCCAAATGACTAACCTTGCCAACAAGGCTGAGCATTTTGGTAATCATCAAAGTGAAGTTAGCAGAAAACACATAGAAGGGGGTTGAATATGTGTGTGTGTGTGTACAAAGGAATTTTCAAATCATTTTTTGCAAGAGTAAAATGCTTCGTCCAATGCACTTTCAAATATCAGACGGTTAGCCAGAATTTGATTAACATAAGGTCATTGCGTTTGACAGGTTTTTTCATGCATCATAACCTTTAGTAAAAAACATGATAAAATTTAGGCAGAAAATAAATATCATGCATCTCTTAGGATAGTACATTAGCATACACCCATTAGAAATGGAAGGCATATATAATTGTATGCAAAGATCTTTGGGAAAGGAGAACATTCTAAACTACAAGAGTCGTAATAATGCTCTATATCAAATCTCAATGATCTAATCGTTGAATTTAAAGTTCTTAATGCATAGAACAAATATGCAAATTTTTTAAAAATTTGAATACTATTTAATATTTCGTTTCATTAATTCAAATTGACGGATGATGTGTTTTTATGATTATCTATTAATTTGAATTAATAAAACAAAATATCAAGTGATTTTTAAATTTTTAAAAAGTTACAAATTTGATCTATGCATTAAGAAATTTAAATTCAACAGTTAAATCGTTGAGATTTGATATAGAGCAATTATTAAACAGAGTAAATCTACCTAGACTTATTCTTGGAGTAAATAGATTCCTCCTCATATATATACAAGGAGGGCTATAATAAAATCGGTGTAACTTTTACTAAATATTACATCACTCAATAACTTTATATTAAATGTGAATTTTGTTAATTCAACTGTTAAATTAAAAGTTTTTATCACTTTATATGTTTATATTAAATTTTGTTAAAATTGAACAATTTAAAAATAATAAAATATTTAAAATGTATATATTACATCAAATTTTTTTATAAAAATAAAATATTAAATTATATTAGATTAATATAAAATTTTATACATAAGAATAAATTTTTTTTAATCTAATAATTAAATTTACAAAATTTATATTTAATATAAAATTAAGCTTATGCTTTAAGGTTAAGAAGGCATTTTCTTGTTTCTCTCCCCATATAAATTCCACATTTTTCTTAACTAAGTCATTTAATGGGGAGGCAAGTGTGAAGAAATTAGGAACAAACCTCCTATAGAAGCTTGCCAAACCATGGAAGCTCCTAATATCTCCAACACTTTTAGGAGTGGGCCATTCTTGGATGGCCTTGATTTTCTCGGGGTCCACATGAACCCCTTTTTTACTAATTATAAACCCTAGAAAAACTACACTATCTACACAAAAGGTACATTTTTCTAAATTTCCAAAAAGTTGATTTTT